TTGTGAAGTTATGTTAAAAAATAATTTAAATATGTAGAGATTTCCAACATGACATATAAAATTAATTATAATCTTTTGATCGGTTAATTTAATTGATGTGTCCCTTAAATTTTTGGGGCAATAGCAAAAATGCCACTTATGGTGTGTACATTTGCAAAAATGCCATTTAGGGATGTCCATTTGCAAAAATGCCACTAATTATGGATTTTTAAAGCCTAAATCTTAAAATATAAATCCTAAAAATGTTTTGACCCATAAAACCCTTTAAACCCTCAAAATTAAACCATAATACAACATAGTTAACTCAAACATAAATGATATAATGATTTTTTTTTTTCCGAAAAAGTGGCATTTTGCAAAGATTTTGAAAATGTGGCATTTTTTAAAAGTGACATCATAAAAAATTTCTCTAAATTTTTCATTGAGTAACACATAATTTTTTCACTTAGTGTCTCCTCAATTAATATATATAAGATATGTAAACCAAGTGGATAAAAAGATCGACAGTTTTCTTCTAATCCGAGCTAACAAGATGTCTCGGATTATGCGATCAATTGTTCTAAAGATGTTGTATGTTGATATGATTCCCATGTGAAGGCACATATTCAATTCCCTCCAAATGTAGAAGATTGTTGCTTGGACAGCGAGTCACTTATAATTTTTTGGCGACGGCAGTGATCTTGATAAGAGCCGGAAGATGAATATTGGCGAGCCCGTGAACATGTTTGAAGCATGGCCTAGAGTACCCTGCTCCAAACCTTTTGAGAGAAGTCACAAGAAATCAACAAATGGTCTCTTGTTTAAGGTCTTAAGTTGCATATATAACCAGGTCCGTTTCAATATTATCAAAGGCCTAGCGCTGAAAACATATTTTGGGCCCCTGTTAAGCTTAAAAAGATAAAACACAAAAATTCGGACCCTAATTTTGGAGTTTTTAAGCTGAAAAAAAAAAATTTTTAATGGGCCATGTGCAAATGCACACCGAACACATGCACAGGGCTGGGCATGTATACAACAAAGACTCGTAGTGTTAATTCCCCTTTGTATGAGCCAGGTTCTCACCGGACGAAGATTTCTCTGAGTATTCCAAAAAGTAAAAGCATGTTTCGGTACATGGTCTTTGAACCACACAATCTTACCCCACTAAACTGAAACGCTTGAAAGTCTTAAAATATCCCAAATACCAGAGGAAAAGAAAGGTAGGGAAATAGAGATACTCGTTTGTCAATAGTAGGTGTCTTTTTCTTAGAATCATGCGGATTAGTTGTAGCTACCAGCATGATCGTGAGATATATAAGCTTATGATTTCTGGTTCAGTGTCATGGCATTACCCAACCATTATGAGAGCACGCCTCTTAAACCTTGCTTTCAGTCAGAATCTCTATTAAAGTCGGTCCCTCATCACCAATCAGATCCCAAAATTGCCAAATAGCTGACCAATTAGCAAACCAATAGTTACAAGCCCTTCCATATCCTATAGAACATCTCAAGAATGTCTTTGCTAATGGTCGTAGCTGCAACATAAATTTCTAGACCCATGAAGAATTCAAAGAAGGTTTCTCCTCACAAAACCAAAAACTAGCCTACTTCAACATGTGTTCCTTGTTCCAAGCAACCCACAAGGAACCACTTCCCGCAAAAAGAAGCCAAACAAGTTATTAGAATATGCACATTATGTTTTATTTCCAGTTAGCCTATCTCTTAAACTGGAGTATTAACCTACATATATCTTGTAACAAACTTTGGTTATGGTTAATGAGAATACAACAATATTCATAACA